GGAAAGAGCAGTCCATTACTTGATGAATCTGGTCCTCAGGAAAGGGCTTTTAATTGCATTTCAGTGTAGATGAGCAATAGCACCATTCATATAGCCACCCAAATAATGAGCATAAATTTAACAAGACAGAATATAGAAGTCTCAGTGCTCTAATCCAAGAATGCAAGGGTGAGCCAAAGTAGCATCTCTGGTATCTACCAGAGATCAGCAAACAACAAATGCGTCACAATAAAACAATTTTGAACAGTACCCAGGGGAAAGTCCCCAAATGATACTTCAAAAGAAAAAAAACACCTTGCTTTTGCTTCCAACTTAGTTTCCGCAAATCTAGCTGGTTTAAACCAGTTTAAATATTAAAGCAGCATTCAGTTACTATATTCCAGCTTCCCACTCAAAAGATATATATAGAGAGCTAAAAATTATCTAGTCATGCTGAGACTTAGTATCTAATTCCCACTTAGAACCAGTTGCTGACTTTCAAACCCCTTGCTATCATTGTTTCCTCTTCAGTCTCATTTTTATTACATTGATGTTTTATCACGCAAATAAACTGACAACAAAAGATAGTATCAGTTTACTAATATTCTGTTCATACAATACTTTTCAGTCCTGTCTGATGCTACTAAGCACTATATCAAGAACTTTTTTAGTTTTCAGTGTATTTTTACTTTAAAATGCAAATTTGATTCTGCTTTTACATAACTAGATGACTGGACAATTTGGTTTTCTCTTTTGTAATTTTGAGATGTGTAAGAAAGGTTTTGGAGATAGTACCTGCAGTGTCCATGAGTAATTTCTGGCCAGTAGGACAAGAAACAGGCTTATGCATTCGTTATTTAACAAACACCTCTACTTCAATCACAAGAAAAAATGGAGAGATACAAGTCTGGTCAGTTATTTGCTGCCCACCAGAAAATGCAAGCCAACAGAAAAGCACAGGGAAAATCACAGAATCACAGAATTTTCAGAGTTGGAAAGGACCTCTAGAGACCATCTAGTCCAACTCCCCTGCTAAAGCAGGATTGCCTAGAGCACATTACTCAGGACTGCATCCAGGTGGGTTTTGAAATATTTTAATCATGTCTAACAGCCTACTTTTTTGACATGAACAAGAGTGCAAAGCATTAATGATGCATCTGTTCCCATCAAGAGAAGCGTTTTCAGAAGATGGCAGGGCAAACTCCTGGAAAACAAACACAGAAACAGAGCCAAACTTGGTTATTCCAAAGGGGTAACTCCAACTAGCCAGCAGGCATTTACAGCATTAACATATTTCCAGAGAATAGAAAACAATAACAGAGTAGTGACAGTTACTGGACTAGCCCATACTCAGCTAAATGGGAATGGGAGGAACCTGCGAAATCAGCAAGTCCAGTGCCCTGTTATCAGAAGCAAATCCTGCAATTCACAGGCTCGCCCAGTTCCGTCTTAAAAAAACTGAAGTGCCCTGCCTCGGTTTTAAGACTGGCCCAGGGCCTCACCAAGCATTAGAAACGCCTTTTCATTTCCAGTTTGGTTTTGCTGGAGACATGTTTGTACAGTTTTTTATTGTGCCAGCGCTATTTTTCATTCAAATGGTGGTTCTTTGTCCTAGCTGTTTTACCCCTGAGATGTACTTAGAGAGGGCTCTCATACACTATTTAAGGCCTATGTCTTGGTAAAGCTGCATTCCTCTAAGCCATTCCAGATAAAATTTACATTTTCCCTAGCTTATCCAAGCGTCATTCTCTGCTCTCCATTCCACCAGGAATGACTTTGTTGAATGTCTGTGGCCAGGCCATGGGAAGTATTGCATGCTCTGGTGGCATTCCCGTGGCAGAGAAAAAGAACTGGAATTCCCAGTAGAAATCAGTATTAATCCATGACTTCTGTATACTATTTTTTTTTTTTTTTGTAAGAGTTTGCTAGTTTACCTAGGTGACTAATTACAACAGGCCTTAATAAAGTCCAACTTTATTGCAGTATATATTTTTTTCACTCAGAAGCCAACAGCCATACTTTAATTTCTCCTTATAACTGCCCGAGCTTGTTATTCATTAAGTATCTTGCTTGTCCATAAATTAATATATATAAAAGCATACCTGCTACATAAGCAAAAAACACCCCTGCCAAAGAAAGTTATATTTAATGGCAACAGTTGCTACTTTTAATCCTGCTTATTTCAGGCTTCAGTGTCATCCACCCTCATTTTCCTGTCCTGGCAAAATATGCGCACGCAGCATCTCTGATTTTGTTCACAAAGCTAGTGCAAAAGTTACAGCTGTCAGTCATACTAGTGGTTTATTCTTCTATGCCTGATTTTCAACAAGGTCTGATATTTCCTTGAATTTTGTTGAATAACTCACTCTGACATTGACAAACTTTCTACGGAATCCAGCAAGTAGACACTAAGAGATCCTGTTATAGGCTATTCTGTAACTGCACATAGGTATGTACATCTTTACAAGACATACACACTGGTTATTTAGATTTTTGTTTGGAACCCAGATATGAAAGATGTTGGAAGATGATATGCAAGGGCAGCTCATGAAGAAATAGAAAGAGCCTGAGCATTTCTGCCTGTTTTTTAAGACATGTTGAAGGAGCTGTTCTAATTAAAATCTTTGCTGGGGGACACAAAAGGACAGTTTTCAGTAAAATTTTTTTGCTTCACTCACATGACAAAGTGTGTTTTGCCTTGCCATATGAATATCAGCATTCCATATCCACAGAAGTTGTATAGTTGATAGTGTCACCCAAGTGTTCAAAAACTAAAACAATTTCATTCACCTTTGTTTGCTTGCATTTACTTTTTGGTTCTACTGTGAAAAAAAAAATAATCAAAACTTTCTCCTGAAAAGGCTGAAGTTTAAAGAAAAAATGGTATCATGCAATTTTGCCAGCTGAGCAGGTGGACTCATCTAGAAGACAGTGTTTAGCACTGGTCTAATTAAAGAGCGGTGTCTCACTTTTCGTAAATTTGGTATTTTTCAGCTAAAATATTCTGGAAAACCAGGAACTTCAGTGCCAATATTTTGCATGTGGACCATGTTCATTATATGGCCTTGTGTACTCACCCATGATGGACGAAATCACATTATTCCAAGCAAAAGTGACAGCTGCACATTGCAGCTACTTTTTTGTTGTGCAACTGGAACTCTTCAACCAGTTTCAGATATCTAGTCTAAGATGTATCTACTGTAGTCTAGTTTTACTGTGAAAGTAAGCAGTTCTCTTTCCTCCAAACAATTCAAGTCAACTGGATGAGAGCAAGTGAGAATTTTGCTCTCCTTTCCTGAGACATTTTCCATTCTTTTCTAACCTTAGTATGATGCTCTGACTTTGTAAACGTCCATGTCTTACATAATCTAATCTAAGACCATAGTTATCACAGCAGCATTACAGGAGACTTATCAAGTTCATAGGCAAACAAATCTAATTATAGAGTACCACAGTACTCTAGGAATTATCTTGGAATTTAATACATATTAAAAAAATACAGCATTTTACCCTTTAAAAACACGGTATACTTTTAAGCTTTCTAAAATAATTTGTATATGTCTAACAAGAGTCTTGGCAGTCAGTAGAAGCAATAGTTCCGTTATTAAAGTTCCAGAGTAAACAAGGTTTCTGCTAAATGCTTGTATCACACACAGCAAACTGCCCCTTTCATAATATTTTCATTATGTCTTTTGTATAGACATTTCCCACGAAAGCCTAAAAAACTACCCCTTGACTTAACAAACCGATATGATGAACGGTTGGAGCCTTTTCTCTGTTGTAGCGATTTTACAGTCATCAAACTCCATTGATCTCAACAGATTCATAAGACAAAATATGACATAAATGCCTCTCTCAAGCTCACATTTTCATGAGAAGACATGATAAAGGATTACAGAACACCTTGTGAATCTCTGTGCGATTTGTGTTCTTCCTTCTGCAGGATGAAACTCCCACCTGGAATAAGGACTTTGCCAGAGAAGAGGGAGATGAACTGAGCAAGTCACAGGAAATGCTGGAACAGGGCGCAGGGCATAGTAATGCGGGTACTTAACACTAGATACCTTCCTCTATATTCAGTGACCTAAACAACAAGGCCTTAGATGCTGATGTAGGTGTCTAAAAATAGCAGATAACCCGTAGTAGAGTGTCTGTCAGAGGGGCCGCCACCCACTATGCAGCTAATCAAGGAAGCGCCGTCCACGGCCCAGTCCAACTTTTACAGGAGGCAAAGGTTAACGCTTCCCAATAACAAACTGACAAGTGCGGCAAGCCTGCCCTCGCTGCCGTACCCACCGCAGCGCTCACGCAAGGGCGGCTGCGGGGGGGGAAATGACACTGAGGCCCAAATGAGCAAGCGCTTTATCCTCGTTCAACGTGTCGCTCGTCAGTGGGAAGAGAGTAATTTCCAATACTGCAAACAAAAGGAATTGAAATCAAGAAGTTTATTAATACGAGATGCGTTTCGCTGGTAGCATATCAGGAACTTCTTCATAGTTTTTTTAATAGTAAAGCTGCAAGAGACCGGGATTTTCCTGCATATAGCATAAACTGCTCTGTTCTCATATGTAGGGCTTTTGCGTCCGGTTGACCATGCATTAATTTTTCTTTAAGTTAAAAAAAAAAAGAAAAGGAAAACTTGTGAGTTAGAGAATTGATATTATTTTCTTCCAAATTGCTTCTTGGAATTTCTTCCTCTCAGAGTAGTGGAAAAATGTAACATTCAAAAAGGTAATTGGAAAAGACATTTTTGGTCTGAACCTAGCTAGTAGATCAGAACACTAGACATTTTTATTCTTCAGAAAGAAGCTGTAACTTTCAACTAGGATTGTCCTCTAGTAAGAGTCCTTATAGAGAATTAGCTATTTGCAGTCAGTCTCCTAGAAATACCTTTTCTCCAGCCAATCCTACTTCTACCTCTGTGAAGTTGGCATGGGTGCTTGGTCAGCGGGGTTTATTACCCTGTCGGGGGAGGCTGCACTGAACTTTTCCCTGCCATCGGATACTGGTGCCCAACAAGTAGGTATGGTAGGATCGTGGTAGGAAAAGTGGGAACACTAGGTAATTCTGCTCAAACAGCCAAGTTGTCTGCCAAGGCCTAACATAGAAGGACAAGGGCTTGCAGCCTAAAACAGAGGTGCAAATTGCTTGGTACTCAGGCTGTGGTCTGCTGCCTGCATGCATAAAATTCTAAGGCTCTGATTTTCCAAGTCACTTGGTGAACTTGCATAGCTTTCAAACTGCTTTCAAAATCCAACATGAAAATGAGCTAATTTGGTCTTTTTGTTTGTTTGTTGTATTTTTAAATCAGGTTTCAGAAGTTTCCTTTGTATGTTTGAAACCTAGGAAGTTAATACTTTTATTTTTTTGAAGTGCCTATTATTATACAGCCACCTACCCTGCATTTATAGTTTGCTTCTTTAAATAAAATACAAGTGCTTTTGACTGTATTTATGGCATGGTGATGAAAATCTTGTGGCTCTAGATGTGATAGTTTTATTATAAAAATATGTACCAGCATTCTTACAAATTCAAGCATTTCAGGCTGCTATGCCACAGCTGATTAAAGGGTTCGTTTACATGACACTTCATGTGCGCTGCTAACTTTGGGATAGAGAAAAGCATGGATGGAATGACAAGAGACACCACCATTCAGTCCTCCCGCAGGTCCTGGTGAAGCCTGTGTTGTATTTTGCATCTGTAATACAGGAGCTACCTGTTTCAAAGCTGGTATGGTTACGCTAACATAAATTGCAACCACATGCTACACAGGGCGGACACACCCTTAGCAGTTTGGATTATAGCAATTTTAAAAAGTAATTAATATGAAAATGCAATTAGGTAAATTATAACTTTGTTACAGTTATTGCTTGTTTGAAATTTTAAAGCAGTATAAACATAATGTAATTACGTTAAATAGTTATAACTTTAAGCTGTGATCCAGATGGAAAAAAGCAAGGAAATTCAAGCTTTCATTCCTAAAGCTAAATGCACTGTTACCTCTGCATCAGCTCAGAACCCTGTGTTGTTTTCACTGCCTCTGGTTGAACATAAAGGCGTCTAAACATAAATATGCACATAAGCTTGAAAAGTTAAAGGATGAAGCACTACCGCTAACTTTATCCTTTTGAGTGGTTTAGTCAGCCAGATAGTCCTCATAAGTTATCCTCTCAAAACTACCTCAATATTAAGAAAAAAAGTTTCTGAAGGATAATAAAAAGAATGTAATCTGAATCAAAGCCTTTGTTTTTTTCTTTGAATTTGTTATCATATTGAGATCATGAGAGGAAAGGAAGATTCTCTTGAAAAAAATGTCAGGTACTTAACAGACCAAGAGGGTGTACTTAGTGGAATTGCTCTAGTGCGTACTTAAAAAACTTTCACTGAAGGACTATTATATCAAGCAGACTTGAATGCTTCCAGAGGAGCAATTTCAGTCTATCATGAAATTACATATTTAGAGTACATTGTATGTTCCAGAAATGGGTCATAAAAGTCCTAATAAAAAAATCATCACTTGGCCTGTAAAGTACCTACGTCTAACACTAGTAATTTTGGTTTTATGTACCAACAGCAGTAATATAATCATACTTTGCTCTTTTAGAGCAGTCTTCACCCACCGATCCCAATGCTTTTTAACAAAAAAGGTAAAAATTATTAATCTCCTTTCAGAGATGAGCAGAGGGATGAAACAACTCCTCCAGGATCACACAATGTGTCACTGACAGAGTTGGAAACAGAATGCAGGTTCTTTACTTTCAATTCAGTGCTTCAGCCACGAAACAGTATTGCTTTTCTCAAACTGAATTCTTCCAACGGAAAAAAATACCAATCATTTTTGCTGCACTGGGAGATCAGTGGAATAAAGAGGCCAACATACTACCATGTTCCTTTCAGCCCAAATCTTAGGTTGCTATTCATTCCTTTAGTCTTTCCTAGTTGTGCTGAAGGAACCTGCCCCTATTCGCAGGATCAGAGGGACAGAGCAAGAAGAGTCTCTGTCATCCTCCATTCCTTCCTCAGTCATCCTTTTGATGAGAGCAGCAGGAAAGAAAAGTCAGTCCTTTAAGTCAGCAGCCCTCCAATGTTGTCTCACTACTTGATGGGGACAGGAAGGATGACATCATTGGACAACACAGTCTGCTAATGCCTTTCTCAATTTACACTCAGGAAACAACTGCCTTCATATTGAAATATCAGAGGAAGTCTAAACGCTCCTGGGAAACAGATGATCTGAAGTAGTTTACAAAAGCCAACAAACACTCCAGAACCACCACAGAGGAAAGGGAAATAATCCCTGGATACAGAACTGGCTCTGTGCCCGGTGAACCATGGAGTTGCCATCAACTGCCATCAGATTGTCCAGTATATTGGTGCTCCATTGTGCTATGCTGACAAATCGGACCGGTCACAAAAGGATTTACCACTTTTATCCCGTTCCGTCTGCAGGCACCTGCTAGGATAACCGTTAGGGTTGCTGGCTATGCAGTATGAACTAGAGTAACTTTGAGGAGGCTCTCATCAGTCCTGATGAATGGCTTTAGTTACCCAAGATTAGAGATAAAACAGCACTACAAAACACACCTTTGCATTCTCTTGGACTGCTTCAAAGGAAGCTAATCATACTGGTCTTAGTAGAGCCTGTAGGCATGAGAATACAATACCTGGCTCATTCCTTCTCCCACCAAAACCTCAAGAATTCTCTTCATTGCAGTGCAGTGGTACATGCTGTGTTTCACACAGGAATTGTAAAAAAAAAATAAAATAAAATTAAAAAGCAGGTGACATTGTTAAAATAGTCATTTCCCTGCAATTGGATGAAAAATGTCAAATCATTTTTTCTGCAGATGTTGAAAAGACAATGTTTTCTTCTATGGAAATATACTGTCTTATTTAATGTCGATAGGTTAGAGAAGCACCACTGTGTTTCACCTTAGTGTAGCAACCAGAGGGTTTTTTATTATAACAAACACAGTGAATGTGAAGTAGAACTGAAGTTAAAAAATAAAGTTTACCTGCAGCTGCTGATCTAGTTCTGGAAATGCCAAAGGGAAGTTTTCAGAGGAAGCATCATCTAAAAGGTAAACACAATGTTAAAAGTCAATGTATACCAAAAACAGCATTTCAAATTATCTGTTTAAAGTAGCTCTACATTGCACATATTCACAATAATATCGGGATCCTGCAAACACCTTCGCATCTGCTTTTCTTTCTGTGCTTGAGATACCTTAATAGACTCCTTGAAAATACTGGTGTGTTGGCAATACGAAAATGTTTAGGTGCTGGAAGGACAGAAAGCCTATTTTGCATTGCAGTGATTAAGAAACAAAACAAAGCCAGTTAGTGTGGTAGAACATGTGATAATTTAATAAAAACAATAAATCCAAACAATCTTTCTTCCTGAGCTCTCCACTACACTGCAAAGTAAAGAACTTTCCAAGGACAGCATCCTTACTACCTAAGAATCCATTACCTGAATGAAGGGAAAGATATCTTCCCCATCACAATACCATGACTTACCAGGGCTAAACCAACAATAATAGAAACCTTTTCTCCCACCACAAGAACACACAAACCAGCCTGGCAACCCTGGAACTAGAAGACTGTTACCTACACAGATATGATTAGAACGGGGAAGGCACCACAAATTTCTCCATACTGCAAAGAAATGTCTTTACTCTAACCTGTAGATAACAATCTTTATGGGCTACAGTTAGTTCGTTCATGACAACAAGCCTCACTGTGGTTTTATTTATTTCGTTATTTTTAGTACAGGCTTCCAGCAAAGGTGGGACAGACTGTGCCAGTTACGTCAGTGTTGTGTTGTGGACACCTGCCCACTAGTAGTTGGACTGAGATCAGAAATATGAATCATACTTGGTAGCGTCACAGCTAGCCACTGCAATATTTCTTTCTCAGTGACTTTCACACTATCAGTTTTGCATTGGATTCTGATGACTGTTTATGCATCTTACTACAGGGTACGGGAGGTGAAGGGAAGGTTACTATTAGCTAGCTTCCAGAGTCAGTTATTTGTAATGTGTCAAAATTAAACAAGGATGGCTCTCATAGGAGAAAACTGCTAACATAGGTTAGATCCTGCAACCTGCTCTATGCTGGCAGACTTGTACACTACAACAACAACCTCAACAAGACTAAGAGGACTATGTATCAAGGCAGGATTCTGAATATTCTTAAAGAGTACAGGCTAGGATTTAAATTATTTGTCAAATATTTGTTATCTCTTTACTCTACCCTCAGTGGTCATGCAGCAAAGTAGATTGGGGGGGGAAAGTAAAATTAAGTCACCTTATCCTATGAAGAATAAACATACTGGCAAACATATGGTCAGAGTCTTACTTTAACTAACATAGCTAGAGCTGGGCACCTCTAGGAAGGGACGCCCAAGTGATACAGAGGGCAAAAGCAAAAGCTTTTGTAATCCCTCAGGAAACAAAGTGAAGTTCTATACTTTCATGGGGGAGGGGTCTTGCTAGTATTATCAAAAGTTCATACCTCCCCCCCGCAACTTAATTTTTCACACCATGTTCCAAACATTTCCATTCTGCAAAATACTTAAATTGGTTTGATTGTATAGAATTGTATCATGCTGATATGCAGGTGTTTACCTTTAATTTGCTGTTGCTTTCTTGTACAATATTTAAAAATAGACTAATATTCTAAAAGAAGAAAGATGAATCATATGGCAAGGCTAAAAGGAAGGACGGAATAGGACTCAGTCCGCCTAGGGGTACAGCTGCTCTACAAATATTTGGCTGAATAGCTGTTAAATATTCTGACAGAGATATTGGACCAGAGTCGTGGACAGCAGTTAAGCTGCTATTTGTTTTGACAATTCCAGCAGTGCAATCTTTGGTACAGTAGCTTTAAGGGGGGACCTCAAACGTTTTTAACTTAAGAAAAACAAAGCAAAAGCAACCCCAAGAATTTTAAAGAAACATCAGCCAATAATTACTTTTTCAATGCATCGGACAGTAATAAGAAGACAAAATTAATGCAGTGTCAGAATATTAGAAAATATATTGGATTATCTTCAGAACCAGTAAAAAAAAAGGTTGGAAATACTTTAAAAAGGATGGAATACAGAGATAAATTACTATAGAGGAAATCCTTTCAATAAACAGATGTTCCCTGCTTATTTTTTGAACTCAACTGACTGAGTCAATGGTACTAAAAATAGAATATATTGGTATCCTAACCATTATGGCATACCATAGTACATTTTATAATGGGCCTGCCCTAGCATCTATTGAACAGCTGCTAGGGTTTTTTTTTAGTTATGCTAGTTTAAGACTTGTTTAAATCATCATCTGATGTGCAGAATAACATCGAGAAAAGTTGGGGACTTAATAGGTTTGAAATTTTTCTGAGTTCCTAATTCTCTTATGCTCCTTTGGAATTTTCAGCTGAAGTATTTAGTTTACAAAAATTAACAGAAATCCTCACAGCTAACTGCAATCTTGTTTTCCACAAAAAGAACAACAAAAAACTTTCCCCACAGCTTCCAGTGAAATAAATTGCTGCATCAGGTCATTCTGTATTTCACTGTTGTCAAAGTAACAACCACAACAATAACAACAAAAATCAGTTGGTAAAAAGGAAACATGTTTAGATTTCACACAAGAGGAAAGCAAATGACAGCAGTCATTCACCTCCTAAAACTTTTCTGAGGATGTTTTCAGAAAGTCAACAGGAAGGATATAAACTTTTGCATATTCTTCCAAAAGAATCACTATTGCCATTACAAGATTGAATACTGGGTGTTAAGCAGGAGATCAGACAAAATCACACTGCCTTCTGGCCTTAAAAATCTATGACGCTGAAAATCAGAAACATTGAAAATGCCGGAAATGTCTAATAAAATATTCTGAAGATCAAAACACTCTCATAACTATCCTATCTCCTTATCTGTCTGTATTTGTTCTTTTCTATTCTACATCTCCTTAACTAGACAATAGAATACAGAAATACCTCTTTTTCTCCTTTTATCAATTTATTATCAATGTTTAATGAGTGCCTAGATTGTTATAAGGAATCCCTAATACAATCAAAGACACCCTTTATAATAAAATTAGTGGCTTTTCTGTACCACAAAACCCTGAAAATAACTAGGCTGATTCTTCACCGAACACAAACAGCATCTCACCCCTGTGGTCACTATTTTACTGCTCCCTTTCCTGTCATTTGTAAGGGAAAAGGATTTCTTATTCAAGGTGGTTGTTGAAAACATATTTTGTTTAAAAAATAAAAAATAAAAAAATCTGAGACTGCAACTTGATGTACCTGAAAATGAGTCAAGATTCTGGTCAAAACAGAACAAGAAAGGAGGAAACACATACATGAGAACGTTTTGGCCATCCCAGCAAACTCAACAGTGTTAACCTGTGATGTGAAAGAGTCAGATCAGGGACTTTATCACAGCCACCTAAGTTAAAGTATCTGTTGCAGGATTTCTAAATGAGTAGCCCTTCCTGATTTCCCATAGATCCCAAAGCTAATTTTGAAGGTCTATATTTAAAAGGGCATGAAAGGTAAAGACCTGTACTCCGATTACAAGATATACATACATACAGTTGATGGGTTTTTAACCAAAGACTTGGTTCACGTGTATGGAATAGCTTGACTTTCATCAGATTCATACATTCACTTTGCTTGTTGCTGAAAACTGTTATTATAACAGAGAGCATCTGAGGGAGGGTCTCCAGGGAAATCACTTCCTCCTTTTGCTTTCCATCAACTGGGCTGAGACAAAGAACCCTTCTGTGTCAGGGCCAGCTCTCTGACCATTCCTACAGGAAAACTAACAACATAACAAATGAATAATCTCCCAAAGCATGTTGCCCAGCCAACACACCTTCATGCTGAAATGGTGTGATGGGCAGCTTTGTGTAAGGACAGCAAGGCTAAGCTGCTCAACCTTCACTGCCCAAGTGAGCTCTTGTCTCTCTGCTGATAGCACCTGTTAATACAACCATGAGATGGGCTTCCAAGCTATCTGATTTAGAAGGCTGAACTGCATTAAGACTGATTGTCTTCATACAAAAGGCTTACTACTTCTCAGTGAAGTCTTCATGCGTTCAGTCCCCCGCTATATGCTGATGTGGCACATTTGGGAATGAATCATGCTTTCTGGAAAGCTTCACTTATTTAATCATGTTCTGGCCTTCTGGAGATTCCAATAGCCTAGACCTCCACCATGTAGACGAATGAGAGGAATCCCTCACACTTTGCTGTCTGACACAACGTCTGGTACAATGAAGTGTAACACCCCAGTCTCGTCCTATATGGCCACTCCACTTAGCTGAACTGTGGGCTACGGGCAATAGTTAATGAATAAATACTTTAAGAACAATATCTGATTTACTTGCAGTATAAGCTCGCAAATTACAGTTTCTCTAGGATCTTCACAAAGATAGAAACAGAACATAAAAATTTAAATGTGTTGAAAGCACATTAAGGTTGCTAAATCAAGCACTCAAAATTTAGGAAATGCCAATCACAGCCCTGCTTCCTTGAGTAACTGAGTTATGATCCAGTCTTTAATTATACAATCAGGTACTATTTTTTTCTCCTACATGTGTGGGCAATGTATTTCAGATCTCTTCCTCCTAAATTAAAGAATTAAATTGGTAACATAAGTAGGCTGTTATCCTGTAAGTGGATCAGCCCTTACACAGGGAAAATGCTCAAACTCAACTGCAAGCACTCCAAATCGCAGCAGGTTGTGTATCGGGGTCCAGTCTTGGCCCTAGGAGGGTGGTAAGATCCAGCAGCTCTAGCCCTGGTTACTGACAGATGAGCATAGACTCATCGAATTTGTCCTGGAAGGCTGTGTGGCTAAGTGACTGCAACTTGGCACTGCTGCGTGAAGTCCCGGACTTCTATTCACAGCCCTGCCTGACATGACCTTACACAACCTCGCAGTTACCTCACTCACAAAATAGTGGGGAACGGTCACTGCCTGACCCAGGAATAGGCTATGAAGGCTTGTTCAATAATAAGAGTTGTGGACCTCCCAAAAATAGAAATCGCCCATAACAGAAGAGATAAGAGGAAAACTCTCCTACTCCATATACCTTCACCTAAGCCTAAAGCATCCTCTAATGAATGCACAGCCACTATCACTCTGAGAGTATCTCACCCAAGTTGCTGTCTAATTTCCCAAAGATCAAGCCACTTACTTGAGGTTGGGTGTAGTTTTAGGAAACTAGCTTTGTAAATTTTAGCTATCTATTTTAGCAATCCCCACTGGTTTTCAACCAATGCACTATCTGCTGGAAAGCCTCTGTTGCCATTACAACCAAAATGAGGACGGAGTAGAGATTTGAAGGTTGCTACTGAACAAGCAACTTTTGCAAAACAGTGTTGCATGATCAACTTTAAGAGCAAAAAATTCTTCATGGCCACTAGGATAACAAAGGCATAAAGAGGAGTAAAATAAATCATTTGCTGTGCTTGCAAAAAATACTACATTGTTCCACTGTCTTTCAGTTTCATTAGAAGATGTATGTTTTCCCTTTGTTATCAGTGATTTTTCTGGAGAGTGTTATCAGAGGTAGACTAATTTCAAACAAAAGAAATTACTAACAATTTCAAACCCAGTCATTTATCACCACATGTCACTAGCAGAACTATTCAGCTAGATTCAAGCTTTTATTCTAGGAGGGAAGGTGAAGAGATGTTTACCTATAAATCTTCCCTCAGAACTATAACACAAAACAAATCCACTTGTCTAAATTTCATAAAGTTCCTGTTAAAATCATTGTATCTTAACATGTTCAATAAATAAGAGTTAGTGATATAAATTAGGACATATTGATTTTCACTGGTTTAATTAAATTGATGTTGATGAACTGCAATGAACTTCCTATTTGGGAACAATTACTTAAATTTTGGAACACCCTAGTCAGTTTAACTTGCATTAGTTTCCAACTGATATAAGACAGGTTGAATAATATGACAATATGTTTCAAATTCATGAATTTAAAATGGTACCTTAAGTCAAACTGGTGCGACATGGTGTGCAGACACACCCTGGGAAACCTATGTTTGATGCCAGCTTAGTGAACTTGAGTAAAAGAGCCAAACATAGATATCTATATATACAGGAATAAGAGATACACAATAAAACTGTCTTCTTATATAGCCCCCGCTGATGGGCTGCTCCTGAGACTTTTAAGGAACTGGTTAGCCTACTTTCACCTTAAAAATACCGCACAAAGCTGGCCAGGATTTCAGTCCTCAGGTGTTGACTGACAAATAATACAACACAATTAAATTATTTCTTGTACACTCAGGATAAACCAGCTCCAGTCTTGCAGGTCAGTTAACACAAAGTCATCTCTTCTCATGAGTTGAGTGCAGTTTCTCCTTTCGCTGCTCCTCACACCCAGTGCTTGGTTACAATCCTAGCCAGTGAGATAATCACCACCCAGAAGAAACATTCCATTTCCCCTTTTTATATCTAGTTATGCTGCCAGTTCCTCCTAGTAAGCAGTTGTACAGCCCCCGGAAGAAGAATGCAGCCTTTCTTGGTGAAATCTGTTACTGTGTCTTTCAAGTGAGGTAAAATTTAAGAAAAACCTTAAGTCAGACAGATTCCCTCAGCACTTAGCCCTGGTGAAGAAATTTTTGTATATACCTCAGCAGTACATAAGCCTCACCTGATACTTTACTACCACACTTACATCAAGTAACTCCTGTTTGAACTGAAAACAAATATCCTTGTTAAGGAAAAAGATTAAAGAAATAAAAAAAAATAAGGAGGAGAAAAAAAGCCAAGTATGGAATACCTAAAGGTCTATCTGTTTGCAGCTCATCTTAAAAAAAAAATTGTTAAATACTTATTTGTACTCTTTTGATTCGATTATGGTTTGATGGAAATTTTCAAACGTGATAAAAGTTTATTTTCTTTGTCTTCTTTAAATATATCAAATATGCTAACCATGTTCAGGCTTACCACTAAGAGCAAGAGTGTAATTCTCGTGACGTGTTAAAACAGTATGCTGGTTTAGACCTCCTGGTAGCCCCTAAGGGGATGTGGTGCATAGGAGAACATGGCACTCACTTTGCTGGTTGCTATTTAGTTTTATCAGAACTCACAGAGATGCTGGATTCCATAGTGCAGGAACACTTTTATGTATACAGTAAAGGATTCAAAATTACGGAAAAGTTTAACAAAATGTAGCAGAGAAATATTACATTTCTGTAATTGAGTTTCTTTCTCTAAATGTTAAGAGAGAGGCTGGAATTATTAGCAGGACAGAAAAGTAAAAAATAAAGTATGATGCAATGCTAAGGAAGCTAGGCTTCCTGCCTTTCATGTCCTCTTCTTCCAAGCTATTCACAACCTTGTCATTTCCTACTGCCGTCTCTTGTCACAAACCACTCTACCCTCTTTGATTTTCTCATGGTCTCAGCTTTCCCTGATGTGTTTTCAGTGTCTCACATAAGTGATCTTTCTCCATAATTTGCAAGAGCACTTTCCTTTCTTTTACATCTCTCTTCAAGACCTATCTTTGCCATAATTCCTGTAAGAAATTAACCGTGTTACCATATCTTGAGAGATGAGAATGATTCCATATTACTTTCTGTAATAAAAATATAATGACAGGATTATTTTATTTTATGAAAAAGGGGACATAGATAGCCACATGTGCTTCTTTATATTCCTTGTCCCAATCTTTCTGTGCCACTTATCTTTATGAGCTGAAAGTTATGTGCAATAATATACGAAGATGTTTGTTTTTAAATTTCCTTGCTTAGAGAATGAGATTCTATTTCAGGCTTGTAGCTGCAAATTAATATTACACAAAAATTAGCTAGGAAAGATAATGCATATTCTAAAATATTTTTAAAATGAGAAAATGGTATTCAAGCTCAGATTCTATTTACCCAAAGCTCAGGAAGTGGCCTCACACATTATCCTACAATGCATACCATCCCATAAAGCACTCATCAACAGTGGGTTTCAGTTATTGCTATCGGAGATCCTTATATTTCATGCCATAAACACATCTCAACCCTGAGTCCAGGCACTCACCTTTAGCAACAGCACAGCCAACTTTTTTTGGGGATGCTTCCCAGCTTCCAATTTACTTTTCGTCATTCTGACTTCTACCATTTGGCAACAGGTCTCTAGACCTTTATAATATTTAAGGTGCAAACTGGTAATATTTGTCTATTCCAAAGGCCATAGGGTCCATGTATATACAGGGTGTGTTTGGGGAAATTAATGCTTAATCAGCACTAGCTGACAGGATAAGCGTCAATGAAATTTCTGCTGCTTTCTCAGGGAACATGCCATGTGGGGCATCCGTTTCCTGAAACCTTTCACCAAGCTGGGCACGTGCGGCACTTTCCAACCTTCCTGCTG